TATATATATATATATATATATATATATATATATCACAATAAAATCAGGAAAGTCAAAACTCACTGAATTTAAAGGAATCCTAAGAACATCTTAAATACAGTGGGGTTTTGTTTACACATAAAATATACCAGATGCAAAAATGACACATCTACACTAAACCTTCTGTTTGTTTTTGTTTGTTTTGTTTTTAGAGAAAATTATTTTTACAGGCATGCTGCTGCTCTTCTCATAAGTTTATTTTAACCCCCCCCCCAAAAAAAAATGCATGCACAAGCCAAGTTAAAAGATAGGGAGCGTCTGCCAAGTAAACGTGGATTCAACAGGTACAGCCAGGACTAGATGCCAAAAGGCAGACTGTCTACATGGAGATGTAACTGTAATGAGAGCTGCCAGGCAGAAGAACACGGACTAACAGGGAGACGTGAAACTCTTCTAATCTTCAGATCAAATGGCAATATTTTCCTTAAGCACATTAGTTGTTAGGACATTTTATAAATCTCTTCAGATAGCTTTTAAAACTTAATTTTATTCTTTACTGTCTCCCTAAAAGAAAGCAAGACATGCCTAACATCTTTAATTCAATTACTGACCCATAAGTCACATCTGAGACAGCGATTGTGATACTGTTTAATGTAACATCGAAAGGCACACAAAGATACACACAGCATTTTTGGGGTTTTTTTCTCGTGACAATCCGTTCTTGCCAATAAAGTAATCCCAGACCAGAACTCCCCCCTTCAACTGGCCACCACCCCAAAACTGCAGAAAGTTCTGGAAGCACTAAAAAAAAAAAAAAAAATCCTTCCTCCACCATCCTCTACATTTATCTCTTTATTTCATAGTAAGAAAAGAAGGAACAAACAGAATCACTCATAAATGTTTTAGAAGAGAATGCCCTCTACTCTGAAGTATGTCAGAGCCCGAGAGACAGACAGACAAGATGAAGAAAAATTGACGTAAGAGATAAAAACCATCACAGAAGAGAGAGCGTCACACTGACTACTTTACTTATTTAACAGCTTGTCCATTCTGATAAGCATTTTTCAGATACAAAGTCAGCAATGTCAGTTTATAGACTTGAAATTAAAAAAAAAAAAAAATAGTTTATGTATTTTATTTATTTTCCCATTCTTGGGAAACTGAAAAAAAGGATAGAATAATATTGAGAATTTACAATAACAACATTAATGTGTTTTAAACTTATTTAAACATTTAAAATTTAGATTTTTACAGAAGCTTTAACCCTTGTGTTTAGAATTGGGGTCCAACCGACCCCACACATGTAAAACTTGTATCATTTGCCTCAGTCCTCGCACGCACAAGGGTTAAGAATATTCAAAAATAACTACTTAGAAGAATAACCCTTATAATGTGTTTTTATTGCCTGTGATAGCAGCAGCCAGTTGCTTTTGTACCTGCTCTCCAGTGTGGCATTTTTCTGCATACCACTGGGATGCCTTGCATGAGCTGACTTCTTCAGTTTCCTTCAAAAACATTTATGTTGGACAGAATTCAGGACTTCTACCTTCCTATTCCAACTAACACACTCGGTGTTTGGATACTGTAAACTGAAAGATGTGCTTGTTATCTTTGAATGTCATTGTCTGTTTTATACAGACACAGCCAGTTTTATAAGCACCTCAGCTCAGTAAAGTAAAAAAGGTACCGCTCCGTCAGTTAAAAAAGGTTGCAATTGTGAAGAACCTGATACAAAAATGTAT